TGATTTCTCCTCCCTCCAGCAATCTCCTCCAAGCCCCAGCGCCTGGAGCGGTACAAGGAGCTCATCCATCGCCTGCCTCGCCTCAACCGCAAGACCCTGGCTGCGCTGATTGGGCACCTCTATCGGTCAGCCATCTCCCCATGGGTCCCCCAGTTTGATGATGTCCTCACGGCCAGCCCACAGGGTAGAATTTCCCAGAGAATGCTGGCTTCTGTCTCTGTGGAGCAGGCAGAGCCCAGTGCCCCATGCCAGTGTTGGGAAAAGATGAGCATGCGTGACAGCTCAAACATTCCCAAAGTCGTCCTACAGCAGTAGAGAAGTTTGAGAGTGGGGAACACCCCCTTGTAAGATGTCAGTTTCACCGAGGGCACAAAAAAAACTGGAAAGAAACAAATTCCCACCCCTGACTCAGAGCACTGTGTGATTGCGACTTGAAGTCCTGGAAACAGGAACTTCATGCCTAACATTTGGGGAGCTGAGAGGAAAGGGGACGGTTTTTGGGGTAGAAGCGGGCAGCTGGAGCTGGCACACCTCCAGACCTGGCCAGCCCCTCACCCCCATGCTTCCTGCCCCAGTGTGCAGAAGTGTGCAGACCTCAACCAGATGAGCACCAAGAACCTGTCGCTGCTCTTCGCACCCAGCCTCTTCCAGACTGATGGCAAAGGCGAGCATGAGGTGAAGGTGATGGAAGACCTCATTGACAACTACGTCACCATCTTCAACGTGAGCTTCAACGTCTTTGTCCCTCCACACATGCTGGCCCCCTGTTCCTCACTCTTCATCACCCATTCTGGCCCTGCCCCCACCCACAGCCCCCTCCATGTTGATGCCATGAATCTCCTCTCTTTTCCTGGCAGATTGATGAGGACCAGGTGTCTCAGATGGAGCTGGAGAACAGTCTGATCACCACCTGGAAGGATACCCAGGTAGGTACCTGGGGCGTGCTTGCTCTCTCCACATCAGGGGCCCAGGCTGGTGGGAAAGATAGGGACCATCAGCTGCGCACTCTGAGTTCCCACTATCCCAAATGTCCCCACACTGAGGCGAAACATTTGCAGATGAGACCTTCTCTCCCTTCTCTACCCTTCTGTCACCTCGAGGCTCAAGCCCAAATCCCATTCCCCAGCATGCCTGGGGACAGGAGATGTGCAAAGTGTCCATGCCATCACCACGCAATGGCATCAATGCCATCCTTCTCCTACAGCTCTCACAGGCTGGGGACCTTATCATTGAGGTTTACCTGGAGCAGAAGCTGCCCGACTTCTGTGTGACCCTGAAGGTGAGTCCTAAAGGGCAGACACATCAAGGAAGGGCAGTGGGACATGGGATCCTGGCACTGCTTGTCCCCAGGTCCCGTTCTGCCACCACCTACCTGATCTTCCTATGTGTCCTGCCCCAGGTGTCCCCCACAATGACAGCAGAGGAGCTCACCAACCAGGTGCTGGAGATGCGCAATGTGGCAGCTAGTCTGGACATCTGGCTGACCTTCGAGGTGCTGGAGAATGGGGAGCTGGGTAAGAACCATGAGTATAGTGTGATGGGATGCTCTGGGGGAATTTGCTGCCAAGAGCAGGGAGGACGGTGGCTGGAAAAGGGAAAGGACACAACAGTGTTGGTGTCCCTGCGTTCCCAGAGCGGCCCCTGCATCCCAAGGAGAAGGTTCTGGAGCAGGCGTTGCAGTGGTGCAAGCTGCCGGAGCCCAGTGCTGCATACCTGCTGGTGAGGAAGGTCCCCATCGGCGAGGGCAGCTGCCTCTTCACAGGTGTGGTGACAATGGATGGGCCTATCACCCATGGGTGGCTCCAGCCAGGACTCACAGTGGAACTTCCCCTGATATCCCCAGCCCCCTGACCCACATCTCTTACACTGGGCAGGTGCCAAGCGTGAGACCCCCAAGTGTGGGCTGCTGAAATGCCGTGAGGAGCCACCCAAGCTGCTGGGGAATAAGTTCTACGAGCGCTACTTCGTCATCCGAGACCGGCAGCTGCTGCTGCTCAAGGAGAAGAGGGTACAGAAGGGACACGATGGGGACAGGAAAGTGGGGAGGGGGACCCTGGGGACAGTGGTGGCACTAGGACGGCCACAAGGGTCAGCTGGACTCTCTGTCCCCAGAGTGCTAAGCCGGAACGTGAGTGGCCACTGGACGTAGCCAAGGTTTACATGGGCATTAGGAAGAAGCTGAAGCCACCAGCACCGTAAGTGGGAGAATCCTGGCTGTGGAGCACACAACCCCTGCACAGTGCTGCACTGGGTGGTTCTGCCCCACTGCCTGACTTTTCCTTTCCCCAGGTGGGGCTTCACGCTGAGCATGGACAAGCAGCAGCTGTGAGTATCTGTCCCAGTCATGCAGGGCTGGGTGCCCCTGGGTTTAGTGGGATCAGGACAGCCAAATTTGGTGCTGCAGGGTCCTAGGGTCTTGGCTGAGCTGGTGGCTGGCTGGAGTACCCAAGGGTCAAAAGAGGTGGGTCCTTGTGCTGCCTGGACACCAGGTGGGGACCAGGCTTTAGGGGAAATCCATCTCTGAGCTCCCACAAATCTCCTAGCACTGGGCTTTAATCCATGCCATTAACAGGTCTGTGCCACTTGCAGGGCTGTGCCACTCCCCACTATTTGCCCCACCACTGCTTCATCCCCATGCAGCTCAAACCAGGGTGCTCCAGGATTCTGAACAGAGCTGTTTCCCAGGGCTTGGTATAGCTGTTGCCTCACACCAGAGCTGTTATTTAGACATATAGGGAGCTTGGAGGCTGTTCCCAGGGATGCCCACCAAGGAGAGTTGTGCCGGCAGCCCTGGGTTTGCAGGCAAGGTGACAGGGGGACCTGGACCCTGCTGTCCCTGCTGCCTACAGCTCTCATCTGGCTCCCTTGCAGATACCTGGTGTGCACGGGGCAGGCAGAGCTGTGGGACTGGATCACCAGCATCCTCAAGACTCAGGTGAGCGCAGGCAAGGCTGGGTGGGCAGGGGGCCAGCAGGACAGCCAGATGTGACCTGTACTCCTGGCATGCAGCACGATGACCTGCGCCCCGTCATCCTGCGCCGCCGCTCCTCCTCTGACCTCGCCAAGCAGAAGTTCGGCACCATGCCACTGGTGCCCCTGCACGGGGACAGCACTGATGCCACCATGCTCTCTGCCAACCAGACCCTGGTAAGAGCCTGGCACCGGTGTTCCTCAACCCACCCATGTCATTGTGCCCAACCCAAACAGGAGCTCTGGGTGTGTGTCCCTGTGTGTGTGCTACATGCTGCGCTCGTGTCTGCTGTCCCCATGCCTGTTTAAAGCAGGTGTCCCCACATCCTTGCCACCAGGTGCTTATCTCTGCCTGTCTCCTCTGTTTCTAGCGCCGTCTGCACACACGAAGGACTTTGTCCATGTTTTTTGTAAGTACCCATGTGCATGGGGTGTGTTTGTGCTCGCTTTGCACCGTGCATAATGGCTCCAGGAGATGCATCTGTGCTGCTCTGCACACACTGCATCCACTGTCCTACGTGTCCTGTGCACGGTCCTGTTGTGCATGCCCAAGAGCAAAGAGGTCCAGCCCAGTTCCCAGCACCTCCCAGAAGGACTGAACATAAGAAATGCAAGGTAGCAGGTTTTGGTGCTGCTTTCCATCAGGTTGTTTCTATATGCGCCTGGTCTTGCCTCACCTGGCTTCGTGCATTGTGCACCTATGGCCCTCCATCCCAACACTGTCAGGGGCTATGGAAAAAGTGCCATTGCTTGGTGGCATGGATCTGATCCCAAATGAGCCCCAAGTGGCTCCATTGGCAAAAAGGGAAGCAGAAGCATGTCTGGAGACCCAGAGCAGCATATGTGCCCTGTAGGAGTATCAGCCCCACAGCAAGGAGCCCAGCTCCCCAAGCAGAACCCTTGTGCTGGGCAATTTCTCACTGCATCCCTCTGTCCCCAGCCCATGAAGGTGCATCAGGACTCCCTGGAGGAGCAGCAAGAGAAGGAGATGGATACCGAGCCTGTCTACGAGGAGGTGGGCAACTTTCCTGAGCTGGCCACGCTGGAGCTGCAGCGGGGGCTGCTGGCAGACCCCTCACCTGTACCCACCATAGACAGATCCCAGAAGCCATCCTCATCCCCTGAGCAGCCCCCAGCCCCTGTGCTGCGCTCCTCACTGCCCCCCAGCCCAGCACAGAGGCTGCCAGCTCCCTCCGTCACCAAGGCTGTGTCCCTCGAACGGGGCTTGAACCTGGAATGTGACAAAACCCCATCCTGTGGGCTCAGAGCCACCCTGACTGCCTCTCTGGAAAGGAATCTGGAGCCACCCACAGTGCTGGCCAGGGACCAGGAGCAGACAGCCGTGTTGGGGCACAGCTCCAGCCCCGAGACCTCCATCAGTACCAAGAAGAGGAGCGCACAGCCATCCTCACCCATCAGTGACAAACTCATCCAGGAGCTCAGCAGCATCATCCTCAAGAAGAGTGACGGCCAGACACAAGGGACAGGGACAGGATCAGGCCAGCCAGTGACATGAACTGGAGTGGCCACCGACCTGGGGGTCAAGTCACATCTGGTGGCAGCAGTGACTCGAGTGTCACAGAGTGGGCACCCTCCTCCTGGCCTCACCCCGGGGCTGGGCTGGGAGCAGGGACAGACAGACGGGGACCAGGCATGTCTGCATGCGTAGGCAGCACGTCGGCCACCACTGCCAGACTCAGCGCCGAGGGAAGCGAGTCAAAGGGGAAGTAAAGCAGAACTGCAGTGCACCGAGCATGGGCTGAGGACACGCAATGTCAGAGACATAGGATACACAGGGTGAAGCTATCACTCTGCAATCAGCACCCTGAGCTCTGCCCAGCATCCCCTTTCCGGCCCCAGTTCCATTGGGCAAGGCACCCATTTGCCCCCGCTGTCCCTTCTTGCATACACTGCGGTGTATTTTGGGTGGTCCCCAGCAGCAGAGCTGGCCATCTGTGCGCAGCACGCGGTCCTGGCGATGGAAGATGGCTCCTGCTTATCTGGGGTGTTTACACCTTCTCCTTCCAGCATCGGGGAGAAATAAAGGTTTATTTGGATTCTAAGGGGTTTGGTAACTGCAAGGTGTGTGAGGAGGGCACCAGGCAAGGATGGGGGTGGCAGATACAGGGATGGGACTGTGCAATAGGAGCAATAGGAGGATAACAGAGGTCTTGGAGAAGTGACTCTGCCCCTTATGGGGCTGTTTCCAATGGCATAGGGTCAGCTGGGGGTAACCCTGGGCTGGAACTGCAGAAGGGTCTTCTCCACATGGAGAGCATGGCACAGTGTCTCTAGCCCTGCCTACAGCTGGCTCTGCTCACTGGACCGCAGGGGCAAGGCTGTCTTCTTCCATTCTCCCTTTGTCCCCAGCCCACAGAGGCAGCAGCCAGCCTCCCATATCCAGCCCCGAAAATCCTTGGAGATGTAGAAATAGAGGAAAGGATCAAAGCAGTTGTTAAAAGCACTGAAGGCCAAGGCCAGGGCGTACCAGCTGTAGGTGATGTTGTTGCAACCCGTGTCCTGCTGCAGGTAGTGCATGAAGAGCAGCACGTTGCTGGGGGTGAAGCAGAGGAGGAAGGCCAGCAGGACCACAGCCAGGACACGCACCACGTGCCCGTAGCTCTCCTGCTTGGCCAGCAGCCGAGCCAGGATGCAGCCATGGGAGATGATCATGAGCACAAAGGGCACGCCAAAGCCCAGCCCCACTAGGCAGAGGAAATAGAGCCGGAAGAAATTGTCCTTCCCTTGGACATCGTGGCACGTCGTGATGTTCAGCTTCGAGATGTGTTCTGTCTGTGGGTAGAACAGCAGCGGGCTCACACCCAGCACCACCAGCAGCCAGATGGTCAGGCAGACACCAGCCCTGCCCCACGTCCCCGTGGAGCCCTTCCAGAGGAACGGGTGAGCCACAGAGACATAGCGCTCCACGCCGATGCAGGTGAGGAAGAGGATGGAGGTGTACATGTTCCCATAGAAAAGGGCCACCATGGTGCGGCAGAGGTAGTCCCCAAAGAGCCAGTGGTTGCCCAGGAGGTGGTAGGAGATCTTGAAGGGCAGCAGAAGGATGAAGAGGAGATCAGCAGCGGCCAGGTTGAGCAGGAAGAGGCTACTGGAGCACCTCCTGAAGTTTCTGGCCAGGACCCAGCAGGCCAGAGCATTGGCAGGCAGCCCCACGAACAGCACCACAGAGTAGAGGGTGGGGAGGAGGATGGTGGTGGTGGTGCTGTTGAGGAAAGATTCCAGAGAGGCGTCGGGGCACTCAGCTTCTTCACGGGGGGTCAGGTGCCAAAATGCCCGCCCTTTGCTGTGTGCTGCAGAGGACAGGAGGAGTCAGAGTGGGCTAAGAACACCCTCCCAGTGCCCCTTCCCAACTGGGTCTGCATGGCAGCTGTCCCAGGGAGCCCTCCCTGCAGAGCCACCAGGAGCTGGTGTCTCTCTGTCCCATGGCAGCTTTGAGGCACAGAAACCGGAGCATCTGCTGGGATGGGACTTGGGAATGGCTGTGCCTTGGTTTGGGGGACATGGGACAAGGGCACCAACACCAGGACAGAGCTGGGACACAGCCACCTGTGCATCATCCCATGTGTCCCAGTACTGAGCTGCCTCTGCCCCCCGGGGCATTGCAGACCCACAGACCCTACACTTCTGGAGGGCGTTCTGCATGCACAACTTGCCTATGGGACTACGAATGGGGACCAGGGGAAGATGTCCTTCCACAGCAGGGCCTGAGTCACCCCAAGGGTCTGCAGTACCTGAGCTGTCCTCCTGACATACAGCCACCCCCTCCAAGCGCCAAGTTTTAGCATGCCCCACAAGGACCCCCTGCTCTGCCCCTTTGCCCCTACCCACATTCAGCCTCTGCCCACATCACCCACATCTCCACGCCAGGACAGACACCAAATCACTTACCCAGGGGCAGCTGTGTGGCCAAGCCAAGCAGGAGGGTGACACCAAACCCAGCAAAGCCAGGTGATGTCACGAGCTGGGCCATATCTGTGGGGTGGCCTCTGCAAAATCCGCGTCCCCAAGAGTGTCACAGGCAGGGCTGGCCCTGCCACACGTCACCGCAGCAGGATGTCCACCAGGTCCTTCCTCTTTCTCCTCTGCCTCTCGTCCATGCACCGCCCTCATCCACCGTGGACACAGGCAAAATGTGACATTGAAGCGTGACCGTCTTGCGGATGTCACTGAGACACGCGAGGATGGGGCTTTCCAGCCACCGGAAGGAGGAAGCAGATGCTACGTAACGGGTTGGTTTGCAAACCACAGCTGCAAGGGCAGCAAAGATATATCCGGAGCAGACATGCACTGGGTTCGATGGTGTTGATCGGGCCGAGGAGCCTGATTTGTCTCTATTCTCTTCCTGCCACCGAGTGGGTGCTGGTTGGCTCCACTCCATGTTCTCAACTCTCTGTGTCTTCCTGAAGCAGAGGGGAGTGACAGCTTGGTGACACAGTCCCAGACAAAGCGTCGTGCATGGACAGTGCCAAACCATGGCCACAGTGCCATGGAGGGACGGAGGGGACAGCGGAGAGCCCTGTGGGGGGCAGAGCACGGGATGAAAGTGACAGCAGAAGGAGAAGCGAGCAATAAAGGGGGATGTGGGACAGGAGGGTGTGGGGGACATAGGGGACATGGGGTACTGAGGAGCACTGTGGCACTGCACAGCACCACACACGTGTCCCCATGGCAGGGGACCCACGCTGGCAGCTGCACACTCTTCATATGATACAAAATGGGGCTCCCAGCGCTCCACAGGATCATTGGGATCATTGCCTTGCCTGTCCCCACACAGCAGACAGCACAGTGCTCCCCATGTCCCTGTGAGCAGCAGGGTTGCAGGGCTTTCTACGCCTTCCAGTTCCCATATCCCCCTGTTTCTATGCCCCCGTGTCCCCTGTCGCCCTGTCCTTCTCCTCATCCTCCTGTTCCTGTGTCTTGCCGTTCTTGTGTCCCCATGTCCCCCTGTCCTCCTGTCCCCTTGTCCTTGCATCCCTCCGTCCCCCTATCCGCATGATTCCAAGTCCCCACACCTCCACACTCCTTTCCCCTACATCCCAGCATCCCCATGTCCTTCATCCTCATGTCCCCTCTGTCCCTGCATCCCCGCGTCCCATCCCAGCGGCGGATGTAGAGGACGGAGCATCAGGAAGGGCGGGGAGGGGGCCGAGCGGAACCTGCATGGGTGGAGTGGGCGTGGCCTCTCGGGCGGGCGTGGTCTACAGCAAATGGGCGTGGTCTATACTGTGTGGGCGTGGCTTATGGTAAATGGGCGTGTTCTGTATTGGGTGGGCGTGGCCTGCAGTAAATGTGTGTGGCCTGTGCTGGGGTGGGCGTGGTCTGTAGTGAAAGGGCGTGGCTTACAGAGAACGGACACGGCAGCGCGACGGGCGTGGTTTATAGTGGGGGGGCGGGGCTTAGAGCGGAGGGGCGGGGCGGAGCCTCAGTTCCGGGCTACGCACACGCGCTGCGGGGCCGGGTGCGGGTCTGGGGAGATGCAGCCACCTCCGCGCAAGGTGAGAGCGGGGTTGGGGTGCAGTAAGGGTGGCATCGGGATCTGCGTTTGGGGACTGCAGCGGGAATGGGGGCGGGGGCGGAGATGAGGATGAGGACGAGGACCCCCGAGCAAGGGCTGAGTGTTCTGCCTGCAGGGGAAGCTGAGCCAGGTGGTGAAGCTCCATTTTGCCGAGCAGCTGTGTGGGCTACAGAGCAAGCAGCAGCGGGATGCCGAGCTGCTGGAGGACATCAGGTAAGGGCCATTCTCAGCCCGCTGAGGTGCAGGCAAGGCCGTGTCACCCGTGGGGGTGGTAGGGAGAGGTGGCCCCACTGCCACCTTCTGCTCTGCTGCCTTGTCCCACAGGTCCTACAGCAAGCAGAGGGCTGCGATTGAGCGGGAGTACGGGCAGGTAAGGGTGTGTGGGAAATCAGCCCTGCAAACAGAGCTTGGATGGGGCCCTTGGGAGGAAGGGTCAGCGCAGTGCCAGCCGGGAGGGATCGATGCATCCTGGAGCACTTTGCTGAGCGTGGCACAAATGCAGTCTGCTGAGTTTTGGGGCACAGTGGAAGTGCCCGGGGGGGGAAGTGTTCCCACTCTTGTGTCTGCTGGGTCATCACAGGGCTGGCATTTACCTGAGCTCCTGGGGCTTCCCACTGCATCCCTTGGGGTCTGCATTGTGCCCCACACCTGAGCCTCCCTTCTTGTGTCCCCCCTTCTCAGCTCACTGGGGTTTTGGCAGTGCCACCATCCCCACTCCCCCTGATCCCTCTTCTCTCCTCCAGCATCACCCAGGGGGCTCTGAGAGCAGCCCGGCCCCTCACTGCACTGTGCCTTCTGCCTCCCTCCTGCTGCCCTGCTGCTTTCTCGGCCACTTACCTGCGCTGGGCTCTCAGCTCACATCTTGGTGGGTGCTGTACCCCATGGGGGCCATCTCCATGGGGCAGAGGGTTGGGTTGCTCTATGCTTGGGGCTGCTCTGCCTTCACAGCTGGCATCTATCACCGGTATCCCCTTCCTAGTCCTCACCCCTCAAAGCTGCAGCATGTGAGCTTTCCTTTGCCTCCTGCCCCAAGGCAGCATTTATGGAGCCAGCCTTCACCTCGTTTCCCTGCATGGGCAACCTGACCCCCTGGGGTGACCACTGGATGGGGGGGTCCTCCCCTACCCCCATCCTCTGAGCCACAGCAGGGTGCCCACGAGGGAGTAGTGACAATAGTCTGTCCACAGGCACTGCAGAGGCTGGCAAGCCAGTTTGTGAAGAGAGACTGGCAGCGGGGCCGCAGCGATGCTGGAGACTCGAGGTGGGCTATGGGAAATAAGGATGGGGACAGGGGGTTGACCTGTGGCCTTCTAACCAGGAGGTGACAAACACCAGGCTGGATTTGGGTGCCCTGAGGATGCAGCACTGGGTGGGATGTCCCTGCAGATGTGGTACCTGGGGCTGCCTGTCCTTGTGGGCATCCCCAAAAACCCTGTGGGTGTAAGAAAGCCCTACAGATTGGCGAACTCTGTTCCCATCCCTACAGGAGTGTCTTTGCTGTCTGGAAGGGCATTATTGAGGGGACGGCATACACAGGGCAGGCACGTGTCAGTGCCTCTGAAAGCTACCGCAGCCTTGCTGCTGAGGCCATCAAGAGCTCCCGGCTGTCCAAGGAGAGGATGCTCAAGAAGGTATGGGGTGAGGGCACATCTGCAGGGCTGGCTGAGGCAGTGGAGATATGTCCCAGGTCTCATGTCTCTTCCCAGAGCATGGAGCAGCTGCAGAAGGCGCAGGCAGAGCTACTGGAAACGGTGAAGGAGCTAGATAAAGCAAAGAAGCAGTTCAGCCAGCTGCAGCGCAGCAGCGAGGTGGCCAAGGATAAGGCTGCCGACGTGGAGGCACGGTGAGCAGGGAGGGGACAGGGGCTGCCATGGTAGCACTGGGGATATGCTATGGTCTACCTGTCCCCATCCTCACTAGACTACGTAAGAGTGACCGGAGGATTTTCCACACCAAGGCCAGCCTGCAGAAACTCAGTGCCAAGGTGGGCAGCACACGGATGGCACGGTCCCTGAGCATGGGGACAATGGGGACAGTGTGTCACCTTGCTGTCCCCATCCCCAGTTCTCCATGCAGATGGCGGAGTACTCAAAGCAGCGGGCAGGGGTGCAGAATGAGTACGTGCTGACATTGGTGTCTGCCAATGCCCACCTGGAGCACTATTACCATGTGGAGCTGCCTGCCATCATGCAGGTGGGGGCTGTGTGGGGACACAACAGTGCTGCAGGGACACTGTGTCCCATCACGGTCACCCGATGGGTGCTGGGTTGTCCTGTGGCACTGGGGCTGGTCTCGCTGGCAAGTTTCCACGCCTTTCCCTATGGGCATGTGCTGTCCATAGGCTCTGGATGGGGACCTGTACGAGCGGCTACGTGACCACCTGAGCACGGCTGGCCGGGCAGAGGTGGAGAGCTGTGAGATCACACAGGATTGGTTCCAGCGCATCTCGGAGGCGGCCGCACGGGTACTGCCACCCATCCCATCTCTGTGCTGAGTGGCACATGGTGGGGATGGGAGTGCATCCTCCAGCCCCTTATTCTCCCTTATGTAGGTGTGCCGTGAGCAGGACCTCCTCCTCTTCCTGCAGGACCACACCGCCTTCATGCTGGTGCCTGAGCAGCGCTTCCAGCTTGATGGCATCCAGGAGGTAGCTATGAGAATCAGTACAATATAGGCTACTGCACACCTGGACCCTTCCCAACATCCCTGTCCTTGCCTAGGTGTCCCTTCTGCAGCCGGAGGATGGCGGAGCCAGCCTGGAGAAGGAGGCACGGCGCTGGGCCATGCGTGCAACACGAGACAGCAAGAACAAGGCACATGGCGAGGAGGTGGGCACACAGCCCTGGCTGTCTCTCCCAAGGGGTCTCAGAGGGTGACTGCTGCAGCCCCATCTTGCTGCCCATGCAGGTGCTGCAGAGGCTTGAGGCCAGGAGGCACCAGGTCCCCGAGGCAGAGGTGGCTGCTGTGGAGCGGCAGATGGAGGAAGTGCGAGAAAACATCTGGAAGGCAGAGGTGGGTCCCACATGTGCTCAGGGTGCCCTCGAACTTCATCACATCCTGGGTGTGGAATTGTGCTGGGATGCTGTGCTATGGAGCAGCCACCTTGGGGACTGTGGTCTGTGGAGGAAGGGGTGAGGCTGAGCTGTCCCCCACCCCATAGCTGTCCCCTACTTCATAGACATCTCCATAGTCACTGAAGCATCCTTCTACTCACAGGTTGGCAGGGCAAAGGCAGAGGCACGGCTGACACTGCTGCGTACAGCAGGGCTGGATGTGGATTCTTGGCTGGCCGGGGCAGTGCAGGCAGGTGGGGAGCTCCCACGCACCCCCAGCACAGAGGCACCCACAGGGCTGGACCCCACTGAGTTCGATGACTATGACAGCGATGAGACGTTTGAGGAGGCTGAGCCTGGGCATGCTGCTCGCACCTACCCCTACACTTGTCGGGTTATCTTTGGGTACCAGGTAAAACCACCGGTGCCATGCACGCCTGAGGATGGCACTGCCAGCCTGGTTGTCACATGTTGTCACCTGTCCCCTGCAGGGCTGCCATGCAGATGAGCTATCCATCGCACAGGGAGAGGAGCTGGAAGTTATTGAGGATGGCGATATGGAGGAGTGGGTGAAGGTGGGATCTACCATCCAGCTCGTCCCAGTGCTGGGGGCCTGGGGCCACATCACTGGAGTGGTAATGTGGTTTCTGTCCCTTCCAGGCTCGGAACAAGGCAGGGCAGGTCGGCTATGTCCCTGAGAAGTACCTGCTGTGCCTGAGCTGTGTGGGCAGTGAGCCGGGCTCAGCTGCCAGCACTGGAACCACAGGACCTTCGGGGGCAGCCCTGCAGCGACAGCTCTCCAGCATTATGGCTGCAGAGCTGGTCCTGGAGCCTGGAGGTGGGTATGGGATGGGGACATTGGGCATCATGCTGGGGCAGGGCCAGGCGATGACATCTTGGGGTGCTGAGCCACTCTGCCCACAGCTTGGCTGGTGCGAGCCCTGTACGACTATGAGGGGCAGAGCCCCGAGGAGCTGAGTTTCCCTGAGGGAGCCATCATCCGCGTGCTGCCTCGTGCTGAGGATGAGGTGGATGATGGCTTCTGGACTGGAGATTTTGATGGCAGAGTTGGTGTCTTCCCCTCGCTGGTAGTGGAGGAACTGACCGGGGCACGGGGCACGGCTGGGCAGGTTAGTGGTGGTGGTGGTGGTGGTGGTGGTGATGTCTGGGGGGTTCTGTGCTCTGCCCACCCACCACACTGTGTGTCTCTGTGTCTGCAGGAACTTCCCTCACCATCCCCACCACCTTTCTCCCCTCCTGGCCTTGCACTCAGTGCCAGTCTGGGTTCTGGCCCTGAACCACTGCTGGAAGGTGAGTGCCAGGGGGGTGGCCTTGGGGGCACTAAGAGCCTGTCTGAGCCTTCTGTGGATCTAGCCTGCAGGCAGGAGGGCACAAGCAGTGGGCAGAGCTCTCCAGACCTGGCAGCCAACCGCATCCGTCCCGTATGTACCCCTTTACAGTGATGCTCTGACCCCCAAACCTATCCCAGAGCCTAGAAAAGGGCCAGAAGAATCCTCTGTGCTGGGATGTGGTGTGATTCTGGAGGGGTTCAGGACAGTGGGACCCCCTCCCTCAGCCTGAGGGCCCCATGTCTGTTCTTCTCCCCACAGCTCCGCGCACCACCCCCACCTCCTGGCCGAGCCCCCGACCTGGAGCAGGACCTCAGCTGACCCTGGGTTGCCCAGGCTGCAAAATCTTTGCCCATCCGCACATGCCCCTCACCCCTGGGCTATCTATTCCCAGTGGTGCAGAGGGGAGCAGGACGCATGGCACAACCTGCTACTCCTTGAGCTGGTCTCCTTGGGGGCCACATCCTGCCCAGCACTGCTCGTGGGGCACTGCTGCACGGTGTGGGGCAGCCACGTCCCTGCCTCTGCCTCTCGTCCGTAGCATCACTTCCCTGGGGCCTCTGCTCCTCCCCATGCTGTGGCTGCACCGTGTCCAGCATGGGCACAGAGTGGCCATGCCCCTATTAAAACCAGTTCACCCCACCGCCGTGTTCAGCAGCTTTAATGGTTTTAGCTCATCTATTTACAGTGCAGTTCAACACCAAAGCTCACCCTGCAGCGGGGCAGGGCAGGAGGCTTCGTCTCCATCAGCACCCCCGGGGGCTGCGTGGTCCCTCCCCATTGGCACCACGGGCATTGTGCTGGTGCTCGGTGGCACCGCCGGGGCTGTGATCTGCAGTGAATTCAGGGTTGGGGGGCTCAAGGCGGTGCCCCTGCCCACCCCTGCAGCATCCTTCCTTGGGGTGCGAGGCATGGGCAGCAGCGGGGTGGTGAGTGCCGTGGGGGGAGTTTGGTAACTATTGCTGATGGGATGAGGTCTGTAATGTCCGTGCGTCGCTCTGGCCATGCCAAGTTGCTCGCCCGGGCTGGGGCTGGGGCCAGCTGCCCCCCACAGCTGAGCCTCCAGCCCTGTGTGGGGCCAAGGGGGCCCTGTGCCTGCTGTCAGCCACCAGGGCCAAGAGTGGAGAGGAGCTGTGGGTAGAGAGCAGGAATGGTGCTTGGCTATGGTGCGTCTGGAGCAGCCCCATTCCACCTGCATCTCCTGATCCTGGGTACCCCCCAGAAGAACTATAGGGGTTGTCCGCAGACAAAAGCTGGTAGGGTGGGCTGTGACCCACTGCCCGTGGCTTCCCCCCTGCCCACCCCTGGATGTGGCCCCAAGACTGGAGACGAGCACTCACATCACACAGTGGCTCCTCGGTCGTGCACCACAGCGCTGGGCTCCTATGGAGGGAGGAGAGATGCAGGCATCATGCAGCCCGTGGCCACAGCAGTGACCCTTCTGGGTGGAGTCAGCACCACTGACTTACAGCCCAGTACCCCATGCCGTGCCAGGCAGCAGCTCACAACCCTCATGGTGGTCCTGGCAGGGACCCAGGAGATGGGGTAGCTGCTGACTGGTTCCAGGGCTTGGGGGGCAAACATCTCAGGGATGTCCCATCACCATTCTCCCTGGTGGAACAGCCCAAGGGCTGGTTGTGTAGCTGTGCCCAGGGCTATGCATGCTCCTCCTGCCCTATGGTTTATGCCATCCCACAGCTGTAGGGCTGGGGAATGCAACCCCCTTCTTGTCCCCCTTTCCCAGCTCTCCTCAAAGAACTAAAGGGAGAAGTCTGGCATTGCAGAGGAGCTGATGAGCAGAAGGAAATCACCACATCCCCGTGTTTGCCCTGCACAAGACCACACAGACCAGAGGGACTGTGGTCATTGCCACCATGGTGGGCCATCTGAGGAAGGAGAACCTGGTGATGTCCCTATAGGAGTCTGGAGAGGGGCTGCAGCCCATCAGCTTTGTTGTTGGGCTGTCCACATTCATGTCCATCCTCCTTCCTCCAGGCAGGCTGCCAGCCCTGGGATAACCCCAGCACTGAAGCACACTACGGCCTTTCTCCAGACCATCTGATTTCCTCATTCTCTGGCTCCTAAGAACCCTGAGGCAGCAGCAGGGAACAAATGCCTCTTGTTGCCTGGGGCACCCACATCTTCACCAGTGCTGTCCTGGAGCTCATTAAAGTTGGGATGATTGGGAAACACCAAGGTGCTCTTCCCCTCCCTGAGCACCAGTCCTCCAGAGTGGGAAAACATCCAGGATGCAAATAGTTGGATTCATTTCCTCCTGGACTTCAGGGCATCTTTCCCTACCTGTGTGTTGCATTGATGAGGTCTGTGCACCAAGACCACCAGTTTGGGGGATGCTAAGCCATGGGCAGAGGCAAAGAAGGCCTCATCAGGGAGACAAAGAACGATGATCCCAATGCAAGTGCCCAAAGAACCAAATCACGAAGGAGACCAACACATCCCTTGCACAACGGACTGGAAGCAGCAGGGTCTTTGCCGCAAACCAACAACACCCTGCCTTCCCTTGGGAGTGGGAACCAGCAGGGTAGGAACAGTGTCATGATGATTTTGTGTGTCCCAAGGAGAAGCCACATCCGTTTGGACCATGCCCTGGCCAGCAGTTGGTATTGCTGAGAAGGGCTCAGAGGGTGGAACAAGACCATCCCTCTGCCCTGCTGGCACATATATTAACAAAGGGATGGAAATATGCAGTCAGGGAATGGGGTGGGAACAGGGTGAGCAGGACTGAGGAGGTCTCATGCCACATCCAGCTCCTCTACAGTCTCTACAGTAGGAGTCACCCCAAAAGCTTGGGCTGGAGAAGAGGAAGCTCAAGGGAGACCTTGCTGTGGTGTTTCTACAAAGAAAGGGGCTCATAAAAAAAAAGTGGAGAAAGGCTTTGTACCAGAGCCAGCAGTGACAGGATAAGGAATAAGAGTTTCAAACTGAAAAGGTTTAGACTAGATGGAAAGAAATTTGTCACTGTTAGGGTGGTGAGATGCTGGAAGAGGCTGCCTGGGGAAGTTGTGGATGCCCCATCATGGGAAGTGCTCTAAGTTGGGTTAGACAGGGTTTTGAGCAATCTGATCTGATATCTCTGCCCAGGCAGAGGGTGAACCCAGTGACCTTTAAATGTCCCTTCCAACCCCAAACATTCTGCCATTGCATGTTTGGCAGCACCCACGCACCCTGGGACCTCAGTTGGACGCCATGCCACGGTCCCTCAGCCCCTCCAACCCAGGAGACCACACAGGGACAAGAAGAAGGAGAAGGAACCCACCTGCTGCCCCATGTTCTCTGCTCCGGGCTGCCTCCTGCTGCTGTCTTCTCTCCCCACCTCATCCGGCACTTCGTGTAGGCTCAGGCTCCCGTGAATATCCGACACCTCATCTGCTGACCCCAGTCCGGCCTCCTCCTGCCCCAGCTGACCTGGGATGCTGGGACTCGACCCTCCCAGAACCCGGCGGCTCAGCAGCCTCCGCTGCCGACTGGTGCTCCCAGGAGAGCTGCCCACTGCAGTGCCAGGCACTGGGGTGCCGGTGCGGCTCTGCTCCGTGCCCTTGCCACCCTGTGTCCCCTCCTGCACAGCCCCATTCTCCAGGCTACCCGTGGGGACAGTCCCATTGTGAGCCTGCTCTCGTTGGAACCGCTCACTGCTGTGCTCCAGCTCCTCCGTGCTTGGCTCCTTGCTGCCGTCAGGCTGGGCGCCGTCCTGCTGCTCATGGAAAGCCGGCTTCTTCCCGATGTGCGTGACACGGAACCTGCAGTAGGGTGACCAGGTCAGAAGCTCTTCTCTTCCTTTTTGCGCTGTTTCCTTCCCATTGTTATTTCCAGCTTCCCTTTAGCTGAGAGCCTCTCTCTTTCTCTGCTGTTGGAGGATCTCCACCCCTCAGACTCCTTCAACACCACTGATACCCCTCCCAGCCTTGCCCTGTTGACCTGATCTCATATTTCCCTCATTTTCTGAAGAAAGTGCACCCAGTGCTGCAGAGAGAAAAAGCCCAACCCAGATGCTGACTGGTGCAGACTTGAGTGGTCTGTCCTCCCCACAGTGGGATGGGGATGGGTCTCTGTTCTATGAAATGCCCTGAGATGCAGCTTGACCAAAACAGGGCTTGAGGAGGGACTCAAAAGTGTGGATTTGGGGGATGTGCCATAAGTGGGTTGAGCCCAGGGAGGAAGGGATGCTCTGAACAATGAGGATGCCACCAACCACAGAGATGATACTGACCATGAGGACACTACTGACCGTGAAGACTTCACAACTGTGAAGACACTATTAACCATAAGGACACTACTGACCATCAGGACACTACCAACCATGGGGATGCTACCAACCATGAGGACGTTGCACCTGGTGGCTGACCACTGTTCAGGAAGCAAAAGCCAGAAATCTCAGCAGGCAGAGGGAAGACAAGGTTTTGCAGGATGATCTGCATTTAATCAGAGGAGTCAGAAGCCAATAGGAACTGCTTGACTAAAAGCCACCAAAGCACACTGTGCACAGTCCTCTGGGACAATGGATGGTGTCTAGGTGTCACCAAGCCTCTACCGTGCACCAGGAACAGCTCAGAGCTCTAGGACAGGAAGGAGAGCAACTACAAAGTTGGCCTGACACCCATAATGGGTGAGTCCATAATTGGAGGTGATTGTAATGTTGTGGCTGGGGAGAAGGGAGAAGCTAGGGAGCTACCACAGCCTTGGAATGTGGGAGGGGTATTGCATAGGCAAAGTGTAAGAGTCTAAAGTGAGCTGGTTGTGACCTGTGCTCCGATTCTGCTTCGTAAGCATTATGAGCTTTTGCTGGCCCAGCAGACAGGAAATCTGCAGAGTGAGTGGGTGTCCAGTGGCCAAGGAACATTGGATTCATCAGAGGGACATGATGCCCCACAGCCACACTCACTGCACGAGTCACACGTGGAGCAACCACAGAAGGACCAGGCTCTGCTGAGCACAACTGTGAGTCAGCCAGAGAAAATGCAAGTTTAGCTCAAGCACTGCTCAAAGAAACATAAGACCTACAAGTTAAGAGAATGGCCATCCCAAAAAGAGAAGCTGAGAACACAGGTCCATGCACTAGATGAGATGTCCGAGGTGAAGCAACAAAGACCAGCTCCAGACTGAGTGGTCCCAGAGGTGGAACAAGGATGGATTGGTCAGTAAGTGGATGTGAGTGAGGGATGGGACGTCAGAAAGATGTTCAGGATCATAGCTCTTATATTCTCTTCCAACACCAGGGAGCTCCAGACAGAGACAGAGCAGATCTTAAGCAGATCGTAAGAGCACTGAGCATCCAAAATAAGTTTATGTCTATAGGGTAGACACGACAGCATCACAGCTAGAAATGGTGCTCATAACTGAAAAGTGAAGAAGATACATCCTGAGAACTGGGTCAGGCCAAACAGCATCAGATGGACCTTCCATCCAGAGACTTGGAGATGAAGAACCTGCACCATGATACAAGACCAACAAATGTTCCATCGGGCAAGGAGAGGCTGGGAGGAGGCACGAATGACAACACCATTTCTTCGTTATGTCTTTGAGCAATGTCAGCCTGAAAGAGCCACGAAAGGACTCCGAGAAGCTGGAGGGGACTCAAGAGATAACGTAAGAAACCTTTGGATCATGAGGCAGGAGTGCTTTGGCTGTCTGCCTAGGCAGCATGGCTGGGACACTTGGTTCAATAGGACACAGCATGCTGCAGCTGAGCAAACCCGGGATGAGAGCACTGTGGGTCGTGGATGAGCTCTGCCATTCATTTATGGGGCTGCCCAGCAGCATGGTAGAGAGATGGCAAAGATGAAAGGTTTAGGGAGAACCCTAAGAAAGATGGCAAATTATTCAATAATATGAAAGTACAGCACACATAGCCCTGATTACTCAGAATTACAGGATTGTTTAGGCGGGAAAGGCCTTCAGGAGGTCTCCAGTCCTTCCTGTCCCCTCATAACTGGGCCAATTCCCACCCTCATTCCTGCTGCTCAGGGCCTTCTCCAGGCGGGTTTTGGAAGCCTCCCTGAACATCCATCTCCCTGCTCCTACAGTCCCTGTCCCAGGATGAAATATTTTCTTTTCACGCTCCATCCGTGTTTCTCTTGTTGCAACTTCTGGCTGTTGCCTCCTGCCCTTCCAATGTGCATCTCCAGTAAGAGACCAGCTCCGTTTTCGCTTCAACTCCTCCCATCCCTTTGAGTTTTAGGGAGCAATTAAATCCCCCCAGAGACCTCTCCAGGCCAAACAAACCCCATTCTCTCAGCAGCTCTTCGTGGGCCACATGCTCCAGCCCTGCACAGCTGCGGTGGAACTACAATAACCTTGCAGTCAGACCTCATACCAAGGAGATTCAGGAAGTGGGAACTTAAAACATAACCTTGGAAACATCTTATGTGACATGAAAACCTAACAAGGATAAGGGGAGAACGTCAGAATGTGAGGAAAGGTGCAGTTAGGGACAGAGATCAGCTTCTTCATGCACTCAGAGGTGAGTGAGAAGAGCATGGATGAAGGACATGGAGGAGAGACGGAGCTGGGCTCTGGCCAGGGAATGAGATTAGCCATGAATATGCAACTGTACAGAGGTCTTGTTTACCAGCCACCAGTCCCAAAACCCAGGCCAGCTGGCAGCAAGGGCACAAGCTCCCCTTAAAGCCCCCAGTTCCCTTCCCTTCTGCCTCTGATGGTAGAAAGCCCACAACCCTGGTGCCCAGTTTGGCTGAACGTCATCAGAACACTTCTGCTGGGGAATGGGGCAGCCTGGGCAGGGTCACAGATTGCATCAGTTACTCACAGCACAGAGACCACAGGTAGCTCAGGAAGTCCCTTGAGGTGAGAACAGATAGGGACTGGGAGACTATTTGTGGGATTTGTCATTGCACTCCCCTATTCTTACCTTCCTCCCACACTATCTAATTATCATCATTATTGCAGGCGAAGACTTGGGGCAGAATAGCCATTCTTTCATTCTGGTGGGAGTTACTTGCAATAGGAACCTGCTGTCCCCCCTCTCCATGAGATCCCTACCACCTGCCCCACAGGAAGGCTGCCCCCTACCCTGCTATAGGCTCAGAAGGGACGTGGGTTTGGTGCTGCTCTGCTCTGAGCCAGCGGGACAACCCCAGCCTGAGTCACCAAAGGGAGGAGGAGGGAGGAAACCCACGTGTCACAGCCACACACCACGGGAATTTCGAGGTGTGAGAGGACCCAACAGCAGGGCCAACCCAGGACATGAGATGGGGAGGAGCATGAGGCAAGTGGACAAGTGGGACAGAAAAGACTTCGTGGAGCAACGCTCCGTCTGAGCAGTACCTGCCCACTGAGAAGACAGTGGTCTCTCCGGGGTGCATCCGGCCTTTGCCATCCTTGGACCGGCCCTGGCGGTGCAGTGGGTGCCTCCTCCTTTTGCTGCAGTGGATGCAGGGGGCTTGCGTGGAGCCCAGGTGCACTGTATGGTGGTGAGGGGGGCCTCCATCCTGGCTGTTACGGTGGGGACAAAGGCTGCAAGAGGAAAAGGACATGACAGGTCAAATCCTCAGCACCAAGGTGACACACGACGGTTTCTTCTCCCTGACTCTAGAAGAGCCACAAGCTGGAATAGGTTTCCCTCACCTGGGCATTGGCACTGCTATGTCCCCGTCATTGTCCCCCAGCATCTCCTTGAGGGCTTCTGCATTTGCTGAAGAGAGAGGAAAAAGGGATTGTGTCAGCCAAAGCGGCCAGCAAGGCTGTGAGCCAGCCCAAGGAAACACTCACCTTCATTCTGGATGATGCATCTCACGATCTTCTCCACGGTGTCCTCATTCAGCTCCTCCTCTTCATCTGAAAGGAGAAATTATGGCGCCTGAGGGGTGGGATTGGGCCAACATTAGAGCTCCTGTAATCTGCAGGGTGCTACAGGGCTAAAGGTCTCTAAGGGTAAATGGGACAAGTTCACATACAAGAAAACCAAGGAGGGCTTGTTAAATACATAGAAACAATTTCCAATGGAGGAAGTCCCAGAGTTATGGTGTTTGAAGCTTAAAAGGGCACGCTGGGGAAATATGGCTGGACATCTGCCCTGTTTTGGAAACCATCCCCAGCACCCATCACAACAGGCCTTTGGCCATTTTGGTGACAGGAGCCCTGGCTGGGAGACCTTAGCCCAGCCTGCAGGGTTGGCTTTTCCTATGAGCAGGTTCAAGCTGGTGGGGAGCTGCCTTGCGGAGCACAGTCAGGGGCTGCTGCCATGCTCCTAGAAGCCCAAGAGACTTTCCCAAGGTCGTGGCATCTCCAGCAATCAAAATCAGCCTGGAAACTTCAGATACCATCCATGTGCAGCCAAGTCAAGCAGCTTATTGGGACCAAGCTCTGCCTTTCACACACACTCAGTGCTCTCTGTGATAGGGACAGCCCCACAGCAGCAGGGCCGAGCTCCCTGCCCCGTCGCACCATGCATCTTCCAGCCAGCCCAACTCACACCCAAAGGCTGTGGTTGAGGAGTCCCAAAGGGCAGCAGCAGAGCCCCCCAATCCCCTGTACTCACTGGCCTGGAGTTCTGCCAGCACGTCCTTATTATCTGGGTCGAGCTCATCCCGGAACGTCCTGCACCGGTAGCCCTTCTTCTTCAGGACATGGCAGATGAGGAACCCTACCAGCCCCATGATGAAGAAGACCAAAACAAGGAGGAAGACCATGTACAGGCTGTGCTGGGAGTCGGACTCCCCATCTTCACTGCTGCTCTGGTCGGACATACGGATCTAGGAGAAGGGGGAAGGTGGCTTGGAGACCCCCACCAGGCTGCCTGCATCTCCTCCTCCTCTTCTCCTTCAGTCCCCCCCCATGCTGCCTCCAGGCCCTGTTGGGTCAGACCCGGCTCCCAGCTGGGGATGAGATGAAGGCACAGCCCTGCCATGGCCGGCTCAGCTCTGTTTCCCAAGGACACACCGCAGCCACCAAAGCATCCCAAGGGCAGCAGGAGCAGCGGGAACGGCCGCGTTCCCCCTCCCCCCCGCGCACAGCAGCCCAAAGGCACCAACCCCCCACCATCACTTCGCAAAGCCCCCCGCCCGCTCTCCCCCCGCCCCCCCCCCCCCCCCCCCTCCCGCTTCGTGACTCACGGCGGGCGGAGGACCGAGCGACCGCCAGCTCCCGCATCCTCCCCGCAACCCCCGGAGCCACTTCGCTCCTCCGCCGCCCGCCTTCCCATCCCCATCCGCGGTGCGGTGCGTGGCTGCGGCGGTACCTGGGCCTGCGGTGCTCCGCAGCGCTGTCCCCGTCACCTTCACCTGCCTCCTAGCAACCCCGCATCCCCGCGGCTCTGGACCGCCGCGAGCATCCTCCGCTGTCCCGGCTTCCTCGGGAAGGAACCTGGCGGCTTCTGCCTGCCGAGGCGGCCGCTGCCAACCCGCTCGTCCTCAGCCTGAGATCTCCGGAACGCCCGCGGTGGGGGATGGCTTCAGGCAGGCTCAGAGAAATGCTGCTGGCAGCTGCAGCGCGGGGCAAGCGGCAGCAGCGGGTGCTGGCACGCTGCTCCCTGCCCCAGCACCCCCCTTCCCGGGCAGTTTTTGGAGCAGTGAAGAAGAGCTGGCTGGAAAGTGTCTGAGCACAGACCGAGGTGCGTTTGCCTGCAATGGTTAGAAGCATTGCAAAGGAGCCCCTGTGGATCCAGCAGCCCATGTCAGCACAAACAGTTCTCCCTTCTTCCCCAAAATGTCTGAGCTGTTCAACATTTCAGTGCCACAACCTCCCTCTCTGTCCTCAGTCTGGGAAGTTTCACCCCAATCTTTTCTGCTGCAAATGACACCTCTGTATCCCGCACCCAAAAGCCACCCAACGCTCTTGTGAGCCCTGCTGACACCAGTCCCATTCCACCACCACCACTGAGCTTCCTCGTGCAGCTGAGCCCTTGAGAACAGGTGCAGGCAGGTGACCCACAGCACTTAGCTGTGCCACCACCAGAGCTCCCTTCCGCATCCAGAAGTGGCCATCAGAGCCCTGGCAGTAGCTGCAAAGAGCCACAGACCCTCCTGCATCCTATGACTTGAGGAGGTCATCAAGTCAGCAGTGCCACCCTTCTGTCTGCTGTCCCAGGATGGAATGGAGGCACATCAGCCTGGCAAGGGGGGGACAATGGGAACAAAGCCAGGATGGCTGCATGAGAGGGCATCTGATCTCAGCCCAACACACTGCAACAGCATATAGCATGGCACAGAGTGGGACATTAAAAGTGTTTTACACCTTGCTTCTTCTAAGGGCACACTGCAAGTCTCGGGTTCTCCTGAGATGTAGGGTGAGGCTGATTCCCATCTGTTCTCATGCCCCCGCTGTCCTTCACAATAAATCCCTTTCTGCTCCCTGGTCTTTCCGCCCACCCAATGCATTTCTGCATAGCAGTCCAAACGGGGGGTGCAACCAGTCCTGATCACGCCATCCCCTTTCCCAGGGGAACCCTGCATAGAAAGAGCTGGAAGCAGGTAAGGAGCAGGCAAGGAGTGGGCTCTGCTCCTGCCAGGCACATCACAGGGGTATCCCATCCCATAGAGTTCCTCCACCCATCCTTCTTTCCTTCTGTCAGCACTTATGGGGCAGTACTGGGGCATGACGCGGTGGCTCTGGCCCCAGCATCCCCCTGGATCAGCATCCCCATAGAGCCCCAAACCTGTGTCCTTATCCCCACGGGGATACATCCCTGTGTCCTCATGCCAATGGAGCTATGTCTCCATGGAGCCCCAGCCCCGTGTCTCCAACCCCACGGAGCTCCATCGCTGTGGATGTGCACCCCAACGGGCTCCATCCATACAGAACTCCATTCCAGCGGATCTGCATCCCCATGGGGCTGCATCCTGCATCCTTGCTTGGTCCATTCAGAAGCCCTGGAGGCTTCGGGCTCCCTTGTGACACTGCTGGCAGTTCTGCTCCAAACATCGCCACGCTTAACGCGAGCGCAGCTGCAGGCACGCTGTCTGCGAAGTGGGCGGTGCTTTAGCAACGCCCCGCCCCCGTTTCGCTCAAGCTCCGCCTCCATCCCGCTCAAGTCTCGCCCTTTACCGGCCACTTCTCGCGAGATCTAACGCGCAGCCAAGCGCCGACGGGCGGTGCGGTCGCGAAGTGATGACGTAGAAGGGGCGCGGGGCGGCGGTGGCGGCCTGTTCGCCATGGCGAAGACCGTGGCCTATTTCTACGACCCGGACGTCGGCAATTTCCACTACGGTGCGGGGCTGGGGTCGGGCCGGGTGGGATCGGGCTGATTTGGCCTCGCTTCGGGGTCGGGGCTGCAGAGCTGTACCGGCCCGCGGGAACGGCCTGCGCTGCACTCGGGCCTAATCCTGCTCCGTGCCGCCCCTGACCGCCTGTGGTTTCCTTCCTTTCAGGAGCCGGGCACCCCATGAAGCCGCACCGTCTGGCGCTCACCCACAGCCTGGTGCTGCACTACGGCCTCTACAAGAAGATGATCGTGAGCATCGCTCCCCGGGGGGAGGGCGGGTGGGCGGGCTGTGGGGCCTCCACACGCGGAGCTGAGCTGCTGACCCCGGTTCCCAGCTGTCAGTGCAGAGGCTTGGGCTGCGTTGCTGAGTTCTCCGTTAGAAAGTTCATTTGGCCTTTCTCCTGGCCTTCGGCTCCATACTGGGCTCAGCAGGTAGCACTGCTCACAGGTGTGGCTGTGGCATCCTTAGGGTCTGCTGAGCCCCCAGCGCCCACCTGAGCTCTGAGGCCACGGCAGCACCGCTGGCTGTTAGTGCTGAGCTGGTGCTGGAGAAGTGACAGTGGATGTGAAACCTCTGTGCCTGGAGCTGCCTTTGGCAGAACCCAGCAGTCAGTGTGGGCTGTGTGTTATCATACACTGATAAAAAGAAGCCCTCTGGAGGCTGACGGGTCCGTCTCAGTGCCTGAATGGAGTTTGTTCATCCTATCTCACACTTTATACGTGTCTTTGACATCCTTGCTCCCCAGCCAATTCACTCAACGTAGTTACTGGTGTTACTATTGGGAAAGATGTTTTTTTTTTTTCCTGAATGCTGAACTGTGTAATCCTGTTAAAACATAGTCATCGTTTAGTGATGATCAAAAAGGAAGCTGATGTTTTCTTATGTTTCGAGTATGAGAGGAATGGAATCTCACCACAAATGTGTGGTACCCATGTGGTGAAATACGTTGTTTCACTTGACATTAAGGGACACTGAGCTCAGCCCCTTTCCTGTGAATCCCTGCTCGCTTTGCTGTCTTTTCCTCTAGAAGAGAGCAAAGAAAGCTCTGCAGTACAGGGTGTGATGTCTCACAGTATGAGAGCAAGGCAGGGGTGCTGAGAAGCGTGTGGCTGCTTGATGCTTCTGAGATGGCTGCTGCACTGAGATGTTGCCCCACTGCACTGGGGCTGCTTCCTTTGTTCTTGGCTAGCTTCTTGGCACCTCAGTTCTGAGGGATCGTATCTGAACTGTTTTGGCTGCTGAGGGATTAGATTCCTGTGCCAAGTGGCGCAGTTCCAGGTCACAGTGTCTGATTCACAACCCATGTCTGGCTGCTCCTTGTTGTCCCCAGAGCCCGTCATCTGCTTCACGTGCCCTGGGGAAAAGCTGCTCCCCAGGAGGCTGCTGCAGCTGCACGCCTTTCTGGCTGTGTGTTTGTGCCTGTATGAATGTGTACTTGCTTGTGTCCATGTACGTAACAGGGTTTCCTCTTGTGGGTGTTACCTCTTTAAAAGGAAGAGCACTTCTGTCACAGGCATCATCACACATAGCACAGAAGGGGTAAACCATTGCTTGAAGGTGCAGGGATGCTGCTGCTGTCTCTTCCTCTATGTGCTCACGCATGCCATCTGTATTCCTTTGCCACTTTGCAGTCAGGCCATTCTCCCTGTGAAACTCCAAACCAGCAACTTCCCTGTAACTGGTGTCTGAACTCAGTGACCAGGAGGTTATGCTGATGCAAGGGCACATTCCTCTGACAGCTTTGTGCAAACAGCAGTCACTCCAGCCAGGCCAGGCACCTCCACACTGCTGACAGCTCCCCAGTCTTTCTCTTCCCCAGCATTTACTGCACTTTCAAGGATCTGCTGGGTATTTGATTGTGATAGCAGAGAAAGCCTGTCCTCAAAGGGCATTTGTTCAAGCACTCAGGAGTCAGGTGATGCTAAAAGCAGAGTTGTGCTTTTGTGAGCACGGGAGAGCAGTAACGTCTATGCTGGCACATGGTGTTTGCAGTGTTTGAGAAGGCAAGACAAGGTGCAATACTCTTGCAGGCATGGCAGCAAAATGTGAGCAGACAAGTTAATGCAAGCAGGAAAACTGCTTGCTCACAGCTGCTTTAAACATGCCACAAGACTTTGACGTTATCTCTTAGTGCTCTGTGAGTGCCTGGCTTTTGGCTTGGGCTCAAGTTCAAGCTGTTCCACTGCCAGAGCACTTTGTGGTGAGAGACCTGGGGATTGAGTGGGAGGAAATAGAAAATGAGCTGTCCCAAAATGAACGCACAGCATCAATTTTTAAAAGGAGATGCTAAAATGGACGGGTGAAACTGGTCCTTGATGCAGTATCTGAAATTAATTCAGTATGCTGAAGTATTTAAAAAGCTCCCTTGTGCATTCAGCATTGCTCCTGCAGTTTGGTGCTCAGGAACATCGCATCCTTTAGACTTTTCAGCTGCTACTGTAGGAGCTTTTGCAGGTGTGGTTATCAGCAGGTGCTGAGAGTTGAGCCCTCTGCAGGCAGGGTCTGCCCTCACACTGGTGCATGCTGGCTGCTTTGGCCAGTCACTGGGAAGCCAATCCCTGCTTGGCGTGGCGATGGGATGCAGGCTGTAGGGGCTGTTCTGACCCTTTTGCTATCAGCTCTCTCTTCCCAGTGGAGCTCGTGGTCCTTGCCACCCACCCTGCCATGCATGCCTTTCCTTTCCTTTCATTCTCTTGTCCCCATCTCCTGCCCCAGCAGAGCCTGCTCTTTTTTCTCCTCCCAGCCTCTGAGGCTTTTTTCTCTGCCTGCTTTGCCTTTTTCTTCTCTGCTCAGGTGCATCTGCACCCTTTTATCGTATTACTTTCTCCTGTCTTGCCTGCATACAGGCAGTTAAAACTGTTGAGACAGCAGGAAGAAGTTGCCCCATTCCTGTTGTGCTCCTGGGGAAGCTCTGGCTGGGGTATCTCAGAGAGCACTGAATCTTCACAGAGTTTAGCATTCAGATTTTTGACTGCAAACGTATGGAGTAGTTTCTCTTGAGTTGGGAATTCTCCTACAGAAAGAGCAAAAAGCACATTCAGACCAGACACCAAATGT